AGAGAGGCCCGGGGGCCAGGCCAGGCGCCTGCCGGCCGTTGCCCTGCCCCGCGGCAGAGGGGGGGAGCAGGAGCTAGAGGGCTGCAGCCCGTGCCCTGTGGGGCAAGGACCCCCTGCTCTGTGGGACCTGGATCCCCTGCTCTGTGGGATGGGGTCCCTCTGCTCCATGGGGTGGGGATCCCATGCTCCGTGGGGCCCAGGTGTCCCTGCTGTGCCCCCGCGGGCATGCTGAGCTCTTGCCACATTCCCCAGGCCACCGCTCACCCCTCAATGACTTCCAGCGCCTACGAGCCACCGAGCTGCTGGCAGCGCCCACGGACCCACCACCACTGCTGCTGGAGCGGGGCTCCGCTGAGCAGTGTGCCCAGCGCTGTGCTGCCAGCCTGGCTTGCCGGTGAGTGGGACATGGCAGCGCCGCGGGGTGGGTCGCATGGGGGGCCACGACACCCAGGGTCACTCCGTGTGCTTGGACGGTGGGTGCCCACATGTGTGCCCCCTGGGTCCCGTGGGCCCTGGGCCCGCAGGGTGCTGTGCTAGGCTCCTGCTGTGTCTCCCAGGGCTTTCCACCATGACTGGCAGAGCCAGCTGTGCCAGCTGCTGCCCTGGACCCAGCACTCGCCCCATGTCCAGCTGCAGAAAAACATCCACTACGACCTGTACCAGAAGAAAGGTGGGCTGGTGCCACGGCAATGGGGACACCACAGACTGGGCACAGGCCACCTGGCACAGGGCTCCCCACTGCCCATGCGGCCTGGCCCGGCTTGGCCCTGGGGTTTTGACATGGTCCCTGGCTCTGCCCAGAATACCTGCAGGACTGCATTGTGGCAGATGGCACCAGCTACCGTGGCACGCGGGCCACGACAGAGAAGGGTCTGCGCTGCCAGCACTGGCAAGCCACGACACCCCACGACCACAGGTGCCCCTGCGTCCCCAACTGCCCTGTGGTACCCACCAGTGTCCCTGGGCAGTGCAGGACAACAGGGAGCGGGCTGGGTACAGTGTGGGGGCAATGGGGACAGCGCGGGGGCAATGGCACTGATTGGGGGTGGTGCAGTGTTGTGGCTCTGCCAGCCCCAGGGAGAGGGGTCCTGGCAGCGCTCCTACCCGCACTGCTGCCAGCAGGTTCCTGCCATCCCCCCGCAATGGGCTGGAGGGGAATTACTGCCGAAACCCCGACCGGGACAAGCGGGGCCCGTGGTGTTACACCATGGACCCCAACATCCGGCACCAGAGTTGTGGCATCAAGAAGTGCGAGGACGGTGAGTGCCGCAGCCAGGGGGTGCCCCATGTTGTGTTCCCATCCACCCACTGAGCCCACCAGCTGTCAGCAGCTGTCTGCATGACCTGCAATGGGGAGGAGTACCGTGGCACCGTGGACCGCACTGAGTCAGGGATGGAGTGCCAGCGCTGGGACCTGCAGCACCCGCACAAGCACCCCTACCACCCTGACAAGTACCGGCCCCCAGCCCCAGACAATGCCTGGCCACCCTGGCCATGCCAGGTGCCGGGGTGGTGGGGCCACCCTCAACTGCTGCTCCCTGTCTCCGGCCCAGGTACCCCGACAAGGGGCTGGATGACAACTACTGCCGCAACCCTGACAGCTCTGAGCGGCCCTGGTGCTACACCACTGACCCTGGGCGGGAACGCGAGTACTGCCGCATCCGCCTCTGCAGTAAGTCCCCACTGGTGTTGCCACACAGCTGAGACCAGGGGTCCCAGGTGCCACCCTAACCCTGCCGCTCTGCCCCTCTCCGGTCACACAAGCAGAGAAACGACCACGGCCTCTCAACATCACCACCAGCTGCTTCAGGGGCAAGGGCGAAGGCTACCGAGGCCAAGTGAACATCACCGTGTCGGGGATCCCCTGCCAGCGCTGGGATGCCCAGATGCCCCATCAACACCACTTCACACCTGAGAAGTACCCGTGCAAGTAAGAGGGTGGGGGGAGATGCGCCTGCAGAGGCCAGCGGTGGGCTGGGGTGGGCACCCATGTGACCCCTCCACCAGGGACCTGCAGGAGAGCTACTGCCGCAACCCCGATGGCTCAGAGGCACCGTGGTGCTTCACTGCCCGCCCCAGTGTCCGCGTCGCCTTCTGCTTCCACCTCCGCCGCCGC